GCCAATACCTTCCTTTGTGCTCATAATTGTAATAGAAATAAGTGGGAGGTCTGTGTGTCTTTCAGGTGTGAGATCCTTACATTTTAAGCCCATGGCTGTCTTCTGGCAGATAGTAAAAAGTGCAGAATGAAAAATCTGCTTACTTTTAAAGACTGCCATTAGACGTATTCCTATTCTCCCTTCACCTCTTTCCACATGATTGTGCTAGATCACATTTTCTGCTGATTATATCTGCTTTTAATTGTTTGCACTATCAAAATTATTTCTGGGAGCAAGCTTGTAGTTTGATAATACAATTGGAGGTGTATAAAACTTTTATAAATGTAATCAAAGCACAACATTTTATCTGATAATAACTACAGTTTCTTCTGTTTTTTTATTGTTTAATTCCACCATTTGTTGTTGTCTAGATTCAGTAACACAGGAAAGATTTATGAATGTTATACATTGATCAGAAGACCAAAAAAAGAACTATTCTCCCTTCAGAGAACTTGTTGTATTTTTGGACAGCATCTTCTCAGTTTCTTGTCATGTTTTATAACTTCTATGCCAGTCGCAGTAGAAAAAACATGTATAATCTTACTTTCTAAGGTGAAAATATTCGAGCCATAGTACATAGTATTGTTTGAAGTGCTTGTGAAAGTTAAAGGGATGAATTACAGATCTGACAAAAAAAAAAAAAAAAAAAAGGTGGATTTATTTTCAGTGTTTCTGGAAGGAGCTCTGAATATCTAATTAGCTGATGCAAAAGGGAAATCATTCTTTCTGCTTTTGAGAGTTTCAAGATTCACCAGTGTGCACTTTTAGGTCTCCTGTCACATAATGGTATATTGGAAATGTAAATTGTGACGATTGTCTACAAACATAAAACTCAACTGCCTGTGGGAATATCTTTCAAGCTGTGAAAAAGAGTGAAAATGTGGATATAAAGCTTACATATGCCTATATAACGCACACAACTTTTGAGAGAGCTAAATGCGTTTAGGTACATCACTTCAAAACTGAGTACTGTTAGTAATATTCAGGCATACTTAAAGAACTCTCATGAATGAAAATTTAAATTTTAGAGAGAAAAAATTCTAGCTTAAATATTTAGATTTATAAAAGCAGAAAGATAGGAAACAAACTGATTGCTTCCCCCGTGGCTTCTTCTCAGCTCTTTAAGCAGTTAATCATTGTTGCTTCTATGGAGTTTTGCTGAATTGTTCTGCTCTCTCAAATTTTATCCTCAAATAATGAAACAGAAAGAAGGAAGAATATCTATGACTTCCAGGACTATTTCTTGTACTGTCTTCCTGCAGGGTCCCGAAGGACTCCACAGTACCTAGTACTATTACCCTTGATGTTGTTATATGTTGGCTTCTTTTGGCAATGTTGTCATCTTTAGAATCAAAATGGTTTGGCTTTTTATATTTTACCCATTAGTGTATTCATCATTATCTTAAGCCTAGTTTTAGAAGAACCAATATTGCAGTCCATAGGTTTTATTCAGATATAAACCAAACTGTTACAGTATCTTTAAAATACATATATAAATGCTTAGGTGTTTAATCTAGTTTTGGAAGGGCTAAAGGAGGGTTACCAAAAATTTTTAATCGACGTTTTTTGTATCTCACTGAAGTCACCTGGAAAAAGTGGTTTACATTGCTTTGGCATTTTATTATGTCTTTTGCATAAAAAAATAAGCTCAGACCTTGCAAATCTTCTGATTTTGAGAAGAAGTGCAAATGTGAGTAGTTGGAAGAAGGTTTCTTGTCTTGGAATGAAAGTGAACTTGAGTTTAGAAAGTTTGGAAGTTTAGAAAAGTTAGTAATTAGGAAAAAAATTGTCTCAGAAAGGGTGGTAGTGCATTAGAACAGTCTGCCCCAGGAACTGATGAAATCACCATTCCTGGAGACATTCAAGAAATGTGTAGATGTGGCACATGTGGACATGGTTTAGTGAGCATGGTGGTGGTGGGACAATGTGTGGATTAGATGATTGTAGAGGTCTTATCCAACTGCAACTGTTCTGTGATTCTGTGAGTGTCAACAAAACGATTCAGTTAGTTATTTTTATTACTGTGTTTGAGATACTTAAACTCATTTGGTATACTTCTAATTTTTTTTTTAATGGTTCATAATATGGATATAAAAATGATAATGAGCTTCAAAACAACAAGCAAGTTTTCAATCAAGGTTGTTTTTTTTTAAAGAAATTTTAATGCATTTTTTCAGTTTTGGTAGTGATTTATAAAAAACTCTTGCAATTCTTATTACTTACATTTTAAAAACAGATCTTATAAAATGTTGGCATTTCAATTTAGGAATTGCATTAATGAAACAAATACGTAACATAAAAAACAGATCAAGACAAATATTGTTATTTAATTAGTTACTGTGGACAATAGGTGTGTACTAACTGTAACCAGTCAGAGCTTTACTCATTTTAATTCCATATTACATAGTTTGCTGTTAATCTAAATGAGATCTTCTGGACTAAAAAAAAAATATTGCATTTGTTTTTTCCGCCTGGTTGTAATGAACATTTTATAAACAGAGGAGAGTCTTTTTTTTGTAGTAAACTAGAGTTGCTGTCTTGTCACTTAATAATTGTGTGAGGACAAAAGCAGTTTACTTGCCTGAATTTATATTTAAATATTGTTAATTAGATTGGAATTTGAAGTTCAAAACTTCTTGAAAATATTTATTTGATAAAGTTTGTGGTAAACTGTGATTTAAACTGTGATAAATCACAGTGCAAAATTGTGTTACTGGGATCATTTATGCCTTTGAGCCCAACAGACGTTTTGTGTAGGGTGTAACAGCTGACTTGATGTAAGAGGTGACCTAAGGAAGAATTTTGCCTTTGATATTTCAGAAATTTACCTATGGTTTGCTTCTGACCTTTGCTTACCAGTTTGCAAGTGTTTTCTCATAGACTTTACAGAGGGCTTTAGTCCTCTTGTGTACGTTGCAAAAATTGCATCCTTAGACGAAGTAATTCTGTCTTTATTGTGACTATTTGGCAGTGATACACTAATTTGTCAAAGAGAATCTTTGCAGGAGTGAAGTTTTTAAAGACTTGGGAGCTGCTGGTACACTATACATAGCACTCTGCTTTTGTTTTGTATGCTGTTACTGGACCCTTCTGTACTCACATCATAACTCTGATTTGAGAACAGTGCATTATCATAGATATTTAAAGTAAGCCATTAAAGTTTTCTTACATAGTGGAATTTTTTCTGTGTGTGCGTTTGAATATATTAGAAACATTTCATTTAAATCAAATCATTTTTGTCTATAATTTTTATCAGTTTTATGTGCATTCATGGTATGTTTGTTTTTATTGTAAATTACCAAGGAAATTTCAAAGGAGATGAAGACACTAAATCTGGTTCTCTGAGCTGCAATAAGACAATATTATTTTTCGACAACTGTTTTTTCTTGTAGTTGTGAACATGATATGATTTTGTTTGTATTAAGGAAAATGAAATAACCCAAATCAATCAAAGAAATTATCGAGCTTATAATTTTGATAATGACCTCAGCTCAGGACATTAAGTTGGGAATTAATGATCAGTTAAGGTTAATGACTCAATACCTCGAGTCATTAAACATCCAAGAAAGTGCCCTATACTTTGATTGTTTTTGGTTTATTAAAGATAGAAGTTGCAAAAAGAGAGGTATTTCCAAATACGAGGGTAAGTAATTTGCACAGAAAACGCAGGTATTTTATTACCTACCTCCTCCTGTACTTTCAGTATAGCTAAAAATCCATTATCCTTGATAGAGCTTTGTTAGTGTAAGGACGTAAGGAGCAAAACCTTCCACAGCCTTTTTTTTTCTTTTTCTTTCCCTTTTGGAATAAATGGAGAATGCCAAATGTATGGCAAACTGTAGGTTAACACTGATTTCTTACAAGTACATATCATATCATCTTTTTTGTGAAGTCATCCAAATGTCCCCTAAATAAGCATGTACAGGGTATTGCAATAGTACCCTGTTATGATCTATACATAGGAATGAGGGTCTTTGGATATGCATTATATGTAGCAGATACATATTTGCATGTAAGTGGGTAATAAGTATTGTTATTGTAATCTGTGTCTAATTTGTATGCTACTTACAGAGTCCAGGAGATGGAAAGTTGTGTATGAGAGCATTTAACAGACAGGGAGTGTTTAAACCTGAAGCCCTTTATTTTCCCATGCTGGACAGAAGTAAGCTGCTATGCTGGCAGTTGCTTAACAATATCTTACAAAAAAATTCTGTTTCGTTTCTGGCATAAAGTAGTATATTTAAAGAAGGTGACTTAGTGAGATTTTCACTTTAAAAAGAATAAGGGTTAAATGATAACTTGACTTATCTTTTAAATGACAAAAAATAAAGAAATTGCAAGACCTTTTCACACATTAGATATGTATTGTCATTTATCATCTAGATATCAGGCTAGCAGTGCAAAGTAATAAAACATATCATCGAAAAATGTGCTATAGGTCTGAATCACTCTTTCATTCCACCTCCCAGCTAACTGTAGTATTAAATCAAACAAGCAGAACATTTCCTTAGGCAGCCATTGCCTTTTAATTTCCTGAAGAACCTTAAAATATCATTCATTACAAGTACTACACATATTTGGTTTTTAAAAGTCTCATAAATCAATAGCAGGCTGACTGTAATAATTATTACAAGTTAGTGCATAATTTTCGTGCTGAAGGCTGCATGCAGAACTTTAGCATATGCAAACGAGGCAATTCAAACTGTGTATAGATATTAATATGAAGAAGCAGGTAACGAGGTGCACGCTATGAATTATGCATCAAGAGCGGCTGATCTTCAATGAAGAAAATGAATTCAGCATGTAATCTAATTAGTGATGGAAGTCTATTACATCTAACTGCAAAAGCAACCGTCCTTGAAACAAATTTATTTACAGTCCATGTTACCACTTGAAACAACTTTGAAATGATGTGTAAGACAACAGCTTAATTGTAAAAATTTTTTGTTTGTTTGTTTCAGTTCTAGACCTGGAAGGCCTCCTAAGAGGACTCAAAGTGTCACCTCCCCAGAGAATTCTCATATCATGCCACATTCTGTCCCAGGCCTAATGTCTCCTGGAATCATCCCGCCAACAGGTAGGATTGCTAGAAGTACCTTGACACAAGCAGTTTTTTGAACACTTGGCTTATATTCACTTGCCAATAAATTAACAGTCTAGGAAACCAGCACCCTAATTTCATAAATGAGTTCTGTAATGTAACGTTATTGCTACATAAATGTATTGTATGTAATAGAAGTTTTGGCAGCTGGGTACTTTAAAATACAAATGTCAGCAAATTATAATCCTTTATAATTTTTCCCATTCCCTATAAACAAAAAAAACTTTGAAAGTATGAACTTCCTTACCTATCATTAGAAAATGGTCTCCCCATTCATTTTTGGTAGATCATATATCTTTTTTTCTTTTTGGCTTGATCAGCTAACATTATCATGAATACAGTTTCCTGAAGAAACTGAATTAGTTAAAATAACTCCATGCTGCACGCATATCTTTCTTAATTTTTCATCCTGAAATTCTATTTTTGATACATCTCCCGAGGCCTTATGCTAATGTAAAGTCCAGCAACAATCTCCTTCTTAAACTACTGTTTTCTTTTGAAAGTTACTATATCTCTTAACTGTGCCTTGCTCCTAGTCAGAATTAAATTAAGAAAAGCTGTGTTGCAGGCAGGAATTAAATAGAGCCGTCTGAATGCACCCAACAAACAATCTGTTGACCCTACTGCTACATTCTCTGTTTTCATGTTACAGTTTAGTTAAAATCTCCTGCTTGCTTCAGTAAAACTCACCTGAGCTTCCACTTCTTTTCCACTTCCCCACTTGTTTGCACAGCTCAGTCTCTAGCACTGACGTTCTCTAAAGCAGAGGAAAGAATAATCTAGACAGAACGAAGCAGGGAGTGGGATTGCTGGGCCTAGGAGATTCAATTAATGTTTGAGTATATGATGTGTCTATTTAAGTATGAGCATGATCTTTGGCATGGTTTTGGTCAGAGCTGATTAATGCATTCCAAAATAGTGCACAGATCAGGAAATAACACATGCCAAAAGCTGTTGGCAATTTGGATGCAAGTTTCTTGTTCTCAAGGAGCAAGGAGCGGAAGAGGGTTTAGCTCTGTGGACAAATGTTTAGCCAGGCCTCTTGGCCTTCTGGACAAATAACTGCTCTACATGATGATATAGATATTTATAGTTTTCTGAAACGCTAAAGATAAAGAGGAATGACAAAATGAAATGAAGCCAGGCAAATGAGGCTGACAAATGAGAGAGCATTAAGTAAACAAAGTGAAGGAAGATGAGACTGAAAGTGTAGGTGAGTATGTGATGGTGTCTTGAAAGTAGCATTCAGAGGGGCAATCTGGGCAGTTGTGACACCAGCAAAATAAAAAGAAAAAAGAGAAAGAAAAGCAATTAAGATTAAGAAAAACTTTAGAGGTTAAGAATTACAGGATAAAGTCTGGTACAGGAGAGAGAACTGGTGCAGAGTAGAATGGAATAAGAGAATAGGAGATAGGGTGTATGTGGGGAAAGAACAGAGGTTTTTTTAGGGTACAGATATCCATATTTATGTGGAAGAGATAAAAAATTGCAAAGAAAAATAATTTTTTTTTGTGGGAAATAAAACAACAAAATACCAAAGAAAATGAGATGCCAGGAAAGAAGGCAGAGACAAATAAGCTGGCCAAAAAGAGGAAGATAGGAAATAATTTTCACCTTGTCAGCAGAATCATTTAATCTGATAAGAAAGCAACATAAAACCACAACTCATGCCTGAAGTATCCAGTCCATCCCTAGTCCTGAAAGGCTCGTCATACTAAGTTAATGATAAATACACAGTGCAGATTCAGTTTCTTAGAATGTTGCCCATGGAAACAGATGCAGAACCTTATAAAACGATGATTTAAGAAAATGAAAATAATTCAAAATTAAAGACAATTGGTATATATAACGTCTTCTCACTTTTCAATGAAATTTCCTGTATTTTTATTGTGTCCCTTGCCAAAATCACTGGGTGACGCTGAGAAGGGCCTGGCTCAATCATCTTTACACCTCCCCATTAGGTATCCATACACATTTGTAACAATCCCCTGAGCCTTCTTTGGGTTGAACAGTTCTAGTTCTCTGAACCTCTGTTTGTGTCACACAATCACAGAATGGCCTGTTTTGGAAGGGACCTCACAGATCATGAACCGCCAACCCCCCCTTGCCACAGGCAGGGCCACAAAACTCCCCATTTAATGCTAGACCAGGTTGCCCAGGGCCCCATCCAATGTGGCTTTGAACACCTCCAGGGATGGGGCATCCACAACCTCTCTGGGCAGCCTGTTCCAGCACCTTATTCCCTGAATTGCCTTCAAACAAGCCTAAGATGTCTTGTTTGAGAAACTGAAGTTTGAATTTTCTGTTAGAATCCAGCTCCAAATTTGGAAAAAAAAAAAAAAAGATACTGAAGTTGCAAATCATTAAATATTTTATTTATCCTCCTTTTTAAGTTTTCTCAGTGATTTAAATATACTGTAATGTTTCCTTCCAGCCAATGAAAGTATGTAAGTGATCACACACATAATTATATGCTATTTAGTGTTGTTCAAATTACATAGATCTGTTAAGTATACTAGGATCTTATGTGTGATTTTCACAGGAAAATGTCTCCCCCTTTAAAAAAAATAATAAAAATTGCTGCATAATACAGAAGCATGCGCTTAACTTTAGGAATCCTGGCTTCCAAAGGAACTGTTTTTGTGTCCTTCACTTATGTATGCAGATAATATTGGTACAGAATTGTTTGTTGAGATTTCTCATAAACATTCATAATTGTATATTTTTGCAGGAGGCCAAGTTTGGGATCTCTTGAAACTATATTCTATTACTGGTCTAATTATGAAAATACACACAGAGAAGGTTATGTTGTCACTTAGAAAGAATTTGTTTTAGAAAAGTATTTAGGGACTTGAAGTTGTGGCAAAAATGATAAATGTGTAATAATGGTAAATTAAGATCTTCTTGAGTTCTCCAGAGAATTAAAATCTGCTGGGCCTGTTATGAATGCAGCTGGAGATACAGTCAGAAGAAGAGTCCAGCGTAGGTTCAGATAGGCTTATCTAGAGACTGCTTTCAAGCCGTTCCAAAATAGATGGTTCAGCATAGTTAACTTAGGCCCTACATGCCTCTATATATTGCAGAGGTTTTGTTGATCTGTGTGCTTCAAAATTTTCTAGAGCTAAAGTAGAATAGCGTATGAATTTCATGTATGATACACATTGTGCCCTGTATATTTTTGTCTGTAGCTACTATATGACATACAAAATGATGTTTCCATTATTTTCACGTCTTCGTTGAAAAGCTGTTCTCTCCATTTTTCATATTAAGAATTTTTATAATTATTCTGAAGTATTTTAGATTTCAAAACTATTTTTTTAAAGCTTTGGACTCAATTTTTCCACAGTTTGACCTGAAACGATGATGTCTAAGTAATGAAAAATATTAACTGTAAGGCTCTTGCATTTATTTCAGAAACCACATCTTTCAGTGATAAAATGTGAATCTGTAGTGCCTTAGGAAGTCATTACCACAGGGGGTGATAAGAACACTATTTTCATATATGTATACAGCTTTCTCTTTGTCCAGAAATTTCAAAGCACCTTCCATGTTCAATTTATTATTGTTAACTTTATGCTAAATTAATATCAGTAGTTATTGTCACTATCATTACCATCTTGAACAGATTTGCTTTATGTGACAAGTACTTCTGTTCACTTATTCCACATTTGATACCAAACCTTCTTTTTCACTGTAAAGATATTAAGACCCCTCTGAAATATTTCATTTATTCAAATTATAACTACTTTCCTACATTCACTGCTTTTGTTCTCTTCTTTTTCTCTTAAGCGATAATCTGGAAATGTAATTTCTAATCCCATCCTTACTTTCTCTCTTTCCCTGTGACCCCAACCAGTAAAAGTATGCTTCAGTTTCCATCCAGTGCAGAACTGTCTGAGGTATGACATATTTTTATGGAGGGTTAGGATAAAGTGGGAGTTGCAAGGTTTTGTGGATCATTTCAGCGTGAGGGATAAATGTTGTTTGCATACACAGCTGTTGATTGTGTGACAATACTTCTTCTAAAACAGAAAATTGAATTATTTGGCCTTTAAAGAAACATTAATAACTAAATAATTTCATGTTCACTGGTTCACAGCTATTTAATGTTGTATTTGGCAGAACTGAAAAAAAGCTTAACGTATAATTATTATTGTTATGCTCACATCATTTTTGATGCTGCCAGGACACAAAGTTAGTAGTTTGGAGTCTTCTGGCATTAATGCCATAAAGTCTTAAGAGTGCATTTAAATAAGACAAGTGAGTTGAGATGGTTTCTTGAGAATATTGCAGGAGCAAGAATAAAAAAAAAATTGAGTTACCTACTTGGTCCTTTTGAGAAGCAAACCTTTTGTTCGGTTACTTATTTTATGTTGTCCATGCATTTTACAATCCTGTGTTGATTAAAACATAGGCAGCGTTAAAGCTGAGTGACTATCCCATATTTCTTTTAAAAGGCCTTAACTCAGTGTTTTGATTATTAGTGCTTGATCACTTTTAATCTGAGCATTGCTTTTGATTAGTGTTGTTGTATGACGTACCATTTATCTGTTAAGGATGAACTAACATATTGCAAAAATAAGGAAGGACACTGCTTTCAGACTGATAAACTGTAATCTAATTCAATAAATTGAATCAGATTACACAAACATTTTTGCACTTCCATTAATGAAGTAGTCATTATAATTAATGTGAAAGCTTCTATCATATTCACTAGTTGATGTATTGGTGGGAAGATATACTGACTGTACAGTGTAAATGTAGTATTTCATAATCTAAAAATCTTAATTGAGGCTTAATTCTTGCCACCTGTCCTCTTCTGAAAAAACTGTCATAATTTTGCCATATTATCATTCCTTTAAATGACGAGATATCTTCTAGTTTATCAGGAGATAACAAGTTGGAAATTAATTCTGGAAACTGACTAGTTTACTTCCAGTGAGTCACTAGTTAATAGTAAAGCTGTTTTCCATTTT